TTATAGTCGATGTTACTCCACGTGCGATAGTTCGCAAACTCGGTAAATTATATGTAAACCTGTGCGAGGGACTAATAAAGACAATGTGTTAGTAAATCGTCGTTTCGTCAATGAAAAAAGAGTAGGGGAAGGCTGCCTTAGATATTACCGGATATAACGGAAGGGTCATTGTCCAGAGATCAGAATGGCAGAAGGGTACGGCTGGAAAAATCGATTTTCAGGAAGATCGGGACATTGACGTTTATCCGGTGGTAGTTGCGTATGTACGTGTCATACGCAAATGTGGACACATCGAGACAGGAGAAGGAAAAGAGAGAGAGAGAGAGAGAGAGAATGGAGAGAGGAAAATTGAATTATCGCTCTTCTTTTTCTCATCATCGGTTATCGCCGAGTTTCTTCGCGATATCTCATTTTCATTCACATACCGTGAGATTTTTTTCCTCTCGAAATCAAGGTCCTTTAGCTGAATTTCTCGCACGGTTCGCCTTTCTTCTTTTCCGTATTGGAGAAAAAAAGAGAAGACTCATTCTTTTTAGTTGAATTTTTGCGCTGTTTATCATTCCTCTTTATCTCTCCATATTGAAAAAAAACAGAAAAAATGAAAAAAGAAGTGCAGCCTCAGGTTTGTTTCTTTTTCTCTCGCGTGGGTGTCTGTATTAGAGAGAAAAAGGAAAAGAGATGCGAGGAGCATGCAAGGAGTTAAAATAATAGATTTCTTCCGCGTATTTGGATTCAACATCGCGAGCCAATCTTGAATCTCATTCCAAATTAATTATCGGACTTCCGAGATTCGGAAATCTAGAGGAAGCGGGGGCGGGGAGGAAAGTTGGCTCGCGGCAGGATGAGAGTTGAGATGTTATCAGGAATATTAAAAATATCTAAACTGCGCCGCGTGTTTTTTCTCGTTATCTCGGCAGATCTGTTTATCTATAAGAGTGGCGTTTAATGCCCCAAGTATCCGATGATTCATCCTGTGTATTTGCTTCGACAGCTCTATTACGTTCTTCGTTAACGCGAGCGATAAGACGCGGACGAAATGTTTCGGCGTAACAAGCGAAAGTTTACACTCTACCTCTTCGTGTATAATTAAACTTAATGGAGATTTCGTAAGCGGCCGTGCGAGAGATTGTATAAATTGTATTAATGGGAGGCGGTTTTTATTCAGCGTTAAATATTAAGTTAAATGAAGTAACAAATCTCATCGGTTTTCTACCCAACCAGGGAAGATTAATTAAGAATTAATTAATTATTTGCACAAGGGCAGAATGCGACGAATCGACAGGAAAGCTTATAAAAAAGGGACTGTAAAAGTGGGATTCTTACACGGATTCAATTTTCCTAATTGTAATTTAAGAAAGTACAGAGATAGTATAAGAGGAACAAAATTATTGTTATTATATAAACTGGCGTTTATTATTCTTAATCGCGACGATCTTTTTATTGTTTCTTATCTCTTCAAATTGAATAAATCAAAATCTAGTTTGAAATTGATAGAATAATGTTATCAAGTATATATAATATTATAAAAGCCTGTGACGAATGTATTTGCGAAAGAAAGAATAGTTTGAAAAGAATTTTGAGAATTTCTGACGAGTTTTTCGAATTAATAGTCAGAAAAGTAAGAAAGAAAAGCAGAGGAAAGTATGTACAAACAATGATTCAAAGATCAATGTCCAAAAGATGAATAGGAAGAAACCTATGATTTATGATAAGTCACCTTACAATAAGTAAAATCCTTTATTATACATCTCCATTTTAAGATAAGAAAAATTCATGATTCAAAAGTATAAGGCCCTGCGCACAATGGAGAAGAAAATATTAGGAACAGAAATAAATATTAAATTTTGAAAATAAAAGTTTTCACATAGCGGGTATAAGATACAGTATCTATTTTATATTTGCTTGTGTCATTGTACGTTATGTTTAATCTTTATCTCTATATTTTTTCCCAAATTTAATATTTATTCCTGTTTCTAGATTACATTTCAAAACGTCCTCAGAGAAAAATTCTACTCGATATAATATAATATACGTTTCGTGTACTACATATACTATATATCGAGTAAAATTTTCGTTGAAAAGATCGTTTTGGAATGTAGTCCTAATATACCCTCCATTGTGTTGCGGGGCTTAACTGTACAGAAGAAATTTATGATTTTATCAGAAAGAACAAGCGAGGACAGGACTTATGTTTATAAAAAAGAATTAGAGGGAAAAAGTGACTTTTTTTTTTACTTTTTTGAGAATTTGTAATTGAAAATACATAAAGAGAAATCAACCAACCGCGCCGTACGACACGCGAATTTCGCGACATATTTGTCAACTCCCGAGTTGCGATTGGTCGATTTCGTTTTATTTTAATACGCGGATATAATTTGAATGTAGTTTCAATTACATGTAATGATGTAATTTCCGTGTAGGTGTAGATATTTCACATTAACAGGCGGCTCGATCGAAGAATGTTGTAAACTTGTCGTGGGAGTTGGAATATTTTAGTTCTATTAATGGACATACCATGCATACACGTAAGAAAGAGACTGGCAAACTGGTTTATCGATACTTTAAAATACATTTTTGCCTAACTAGTTCGTCTATATCTACTTTTTAGCATGATAGGTGTATCACAATCGCTAATAAACAACATAACGTAACATAATCTAAAAAATTTAAGATAAATTAAAAATAATCAAGAATAAGCCAACAGGAAATGTCGGTGAAAAAAAAAAAACAAATATGTTATGCAGCTATTGGCATGGAAGAAGAAAAGAAAGGAAAAAAGTTTCTCACATTAATTTAATTAAATTTTTTTATGTATAAAAGAAATTTGCTTTTGGCTCGTGAATTTATAAATAATAATAAATGGCAAAATAAAAAAAAACAATCCGCGTTCCGGATTGTTAATATTTAACATGAATTTAAGTGTCATCGAAACGTAACGATAGATGCTTCGATCTGGATAAATTTACACATTAAAACATAAATAATTCTAGTAAATAATTCCCTCCCTCTCACTGCGGGAAGAGAAAAAGAAGAAAAGAGAAAGGAATTTCGCGCCAAAACTTCTTCCAAGATTTTTCAATTTTTGCGGAAATCTTCCTTTTGAAGTGTGAAATTACATGAAATACGCATCGCGTCGTGACAAGAGCGACTCGCGTGCAACTGTCACGTGTGTGTACGCACGGGGAAGGGGAACAAGAGAAGGAGGGAGAGAGAAAGACGAAAATAGAAAATGACGATGAGTGCTAGAGAGCGAGAACGAGAGAGAGAGAGAGAGAGAGAGAGAGAGAAGGAACGCGATATATATATATATATTATTATATATATATATATATATACTAACACACACACACACACACACAAAAGAGGAGAAAGAGATCGAAGAGGAGGGTGTAGAATAAAGGTGCGCCTACCAAGTGCTCGTCTCAGGGTGACGGAGGAGGGGGGGAGAGGGGGGAGTGTGTATGCTCTTGGACCAACAGCTGTAGCCGAAGCTGCGTTCCTCTTCGTCTCTCGGCATTCGATCCCGCACGCGCCGTCATCTCGCTTCTACGTTCCATTCTTGCCCGTCCCCGTTCCCCCACCCTTGCCGTCACAACAACGACGACGGCGGCGGCGGCGGTGGTGACGGCGGCAACAACAGCAGCTGCCGCGCTGCCGAAGAAGACCCTCACAGCGGGGGCGCACATCGTCGCATCGCGTCGCACTCGCCCCAGAGAGGCTGTCACGGTGCGCTATTAATATATCCCTTCGAGAAGCGCGCAACAGTAGTCCACGACCGTCTTCAGAAGTGTGAACGCGGAGCGAGAAGTGTTTTGGTCATGCTCGGCTACGACGGTGACGACTAGTCGTGCCGGAATATTCGAGGAGAGCAGGAGGACATCACCGAGAGACGAGGCCGAGACGACTATTACGACGATTACAAAGACGATCGACGTGTTCGCGTTCCGAGGACTATGGAGCGACTCGGGATTCGGGAGCGACTCCCGGCCGGTCGCCGGATCGTGATACGGGTCACGGGATGGTTCCTTTGGGACGTGTGCAATTGGATGTATCGACGGGCGATGGGCCTCGACGTGGGACGCGACAATGGTGACGGTAACGCGATGGCGACGGCGATGACCTCGTCGAAGTCCCAGAAAGAGACGACCGTCGCGTCGTCGTCGTCATCGTCGTCGTCGTCGTCGTCGTCGTCGTCGCCGTCGTCGTCGTCGTCGTCGTCGTCGTCATCGTCGTCGTCGTCTTCGTCGTCATCGTCGTCGCGCGAGCGCGAATTGTCGGGCCGTAACGAGTTCGCGGTGTGCCAGAGTGAAATGTGCCGATATTGTCGTGCCATGGAGAAGACGCTGTTCTGGGAGGATTTCACCTTCTTCATCAACCTTTACCTGATCATCGGGCTCAACGCGGCGTTCTGGTGAGTCCGGCGCTCGAGAGTCGCGCACGCGCGCACCCCGTTGTTCTTTTTCTCCTCATCGTCGCACCGAAATCAGTTCTTTCGACACCGCGTGTCACGATAAAGATAGAGAGAAGGAAAACTAGAAGGGAAATTCGGATGATTCTTTCTTTGTCTCTTTTTTTTTGTTCTTCCCGAGTGTCTCGAGAGCTCCGAGAATTTGTTACGCGATGTTCGTGTCGAACGTCGAAGAAAAGACCACGTGCATCGCTCTTGTAAAAATTTAATACTCGAAGATAGTGATTAATTACTTATTTTGAATATTAAATTGGATATTTGTAAAGGTCAGTTTTCTTCTGGTATTTAAATTTCTGATAATTAGACTTTTATTTTTATTATATTTAATCAATCCTACATTTTGTTTCGTTCTTTTCTTTCGTTCAGTCATTCGAGAATGCAAAAGATAATTCTGGAAAAAATTTGGCAGGAATTTTATATATAGATAATATTAGAAGGTAGTGATTAATTACTTATTTTGAATATTATATTGGATATCTATAAAGGTGTCTAGTTTTCTTCCGGTAATTAAATGACTTTTGTTTCTATTATATTCAGTCGAGTTTACATTTCTCGTTTCGTTCTTTTTTTTCATTCGATCATTCGAGAACGCAAAAGACAATTCTGGAAAAAATTTCAAAGGAATTTTATATATTTTATAGAATTTTATATATTTTATATAACACTAGAAGATAGTGATTAATTACTTATTTCGAAAATTGGATATTTGTAATGGCATTTAGTTTTTTCCGATAATTAAATGACTTTTGTTTCTATTATATTCAGTCGAGCTATATACATTTTTCGTTTCGTTCTTTCCTTTTGTTCATCTTTCGAGAACGCAAAAGATGATTCTGCAAAATATCGGAAAAAATTTCATAAATTTCTTTGGCTAGTGCTGGTCGCATTCGCGCTTCTCTCTCTCTCTCTCT